ACTCGAGAATAGTTATCCAGCTAAACAGGTATGTCAAAATTATCACATCGTCTGGTTTTAAATCAACAATTTTGACGGATTTTGTGCAAGGACAGCTTCGGGTTCCGTTTCGCCACAGGGTGCCCGACTATGACTTATTTATTTATCAATATCTCTGTATGAAAATGCTCTGTATATTTCTATTTATCAATATCTCTGTATGAAAATGGGTATTAATGCTCTGTATATTATTTAATGCCATACATATTAATGCCATACATATTCTCTATACAGTAATGTTAAAGCGGTCAGTGCAGAAACGCGCGTGAATACAGTTATATCAAAGCGGTCAGTGGACGAAACACGCGGAAGCGAGGAACGCGCGCGTTCCCCCTTATTTTTCGCGCGCGCGTTCCTCGCAAGGTTGGTGGGATTAAAGGATCATTTCATTTAACCAATCAGATTACGAGTTTTTTTGGATCGTGATTTGATTGGTTAAAATGAAGACGGACCAGAAAGTAGACAGGTACCACACAATGACGAAATAGTTGATATCGTGGCGTGAAATTGAAACTAGTTTAATTTAGGTTTTTAATTGTGTTTTTAAATTTGATATGACATACAGTAAACAAGTAGTAAAGATACACAGTTTTTAGATTTTTCTATAAGTTAGATTAAAAGCACAAAACACACTGCTAATTTTTTTAGTCGCAATTCAATTGATCGGGTAAATTACAAAGAAAAGTGCCCCATCAGTCCAACTTCCCGACTCTGCTAGCTCGTATCGGTCAAGTCCGTCTCGTGCTAGCCGCTAGAACGCCGTATGTTTACGTTTAAGCTAGATTTCGGCTAAACTCAACGCTATCGTCAGAGGCGGTGAATAGGTGGCTTACCAACCGGTATCGAACGAACGACGGGGGAGAGTGCCGGCGGCGCCCAGACCTGATTATGCCTGGCACCCTTTTCGCAAGACCCTGTGATCGGTAAATACCACACATAAGTAAAAGTCACAGTTCGGTATATAAGTACGTAACAGTTGCCTGATGTGGTGCATGTGGGACACTTTAGCTCGATGTTTGCCAAACCTTTGAAACGAACGCATGCGCGATAACTTGACACTCGGGTAAACAGAGCGCATGCGTGGGCATCATCCAATCAGGACGCAGGAAAATTTCGCACTGATCCCGAGAGTAGGCGAGTTCGAGACATGTGCGAGACGGCTCAAAAATTTCAAAAAATTATTTGTTTTCAAAACAAATTCAGTGAAAATATATATTATTCACATGTATTT